AACAGATATTTATCTTTTTGGCAAATAATAATAATAATAATAATAATAATAATAATAATAATAATAATAATAATAATAATAATAATAATAATAATAATAATAATAATAATAATAATAATAATAATAAAGTTGGATGGGACCTTGGAGGTCATCTAGTCCAACCCCCTGCTCAGGCAGGAAACCCTATACCATTTCGGACAAATGGCTGTCCAGTCTCTTCTTAAAAACTTCCAGTGTTGGAGCATTCACCGCTTCTGGAGGCAGGTTGTTCCTCTGGTTAATTGTTCTAACTGTCAGGAAGTTTCTCCTTAGTTCTAGGTTGCTTCTCTCCTTGGATAGTTTCCATCCCGTTGCTTCTTGTCCTGCCTTCAGGCACAAGAGTAAAAGCTAGGGAATTCATTCAGATACTACCACAACATCCCTTAGCCTGAACTTTTTTCAAAGCCATTCTGTACTTTAACTGTAAAGGTATATAGAATTATTCTTGCACCTGGAACTTGTTGATTTTGGGTTTCAAATATAAGATAACATAAATCCAGAAACCCTAAAATATTCCTACTCTGTACCCAAAGTAACTGTTTAGCTTTTGCTACATTTTAATAAATCCTTCTGAGTGCTCGATATGTATATATATGGCCCATTAAGAAACACATTTTCTTCCTGAAGAATTGGAAAGTTTCCTTGAACAAGCTTACTGAATATCTTACAGTGAAAGTTCTATTTGGAAAAGGTGATGGAAATTATTAAGAGTAAATCTACATGAACTTCTCTCTCTTTAAACACTATTGATGGTTTTATGGATAAGCAGGGTATGCAAATCCACAACAATCTCCATTTCTACCTAATAGTAACTGGAATTTTGAAATAAATCATGTATGTCAGAACATGCCTCATGTTCACCTACAGTATCCCTTGGATTCAGACATCATGCTTAATTATAGACATCATATCCACCATGCTGAAGGAATTGAAAACTGCAAGATAAAGTTTTATTCATGTTCAAGCAGCCAAAAGAGCAAAAATTGTTGTCCAGATGTACCCAGCAGGTTTTATGGAAGGAAAATATAGTATTTACAAGAGAGTTGAATCCTTCATTTACAGAGAATTTTTAAATAAGGCTAAGGGACATGTATGGCCCAGTGGCAACAGTTCATCTTCCTTTGATTAATTATCTTCTTTTCTGACTGTTTTTTTAGTTTGTATGCCAACCCTCTACCTGGTTTATTTATATGTTCAAAAAAAAGTTGTTTTGTATATTTAAGTTTCTTTTCAATATCTGAAACAGTCAACAGAGAAATTTGTTGTTGCAATAATTTTAGTTGATTAAGTATGTTAGGATCTTCTGGTGAATTCTGGAGTTCCCTTTCCTTCATTTTAATTTTTTTGTTTCCTTAATATTGTAATTAGAATTTCTCTGAATATTTGCCCCTCTTTTCCAGAAATGTTAAATCTCTGGTGATACTTTTTTCATCCATCTTTCTCTTAATTGCTGTATTGTATTGTATAAAATATCCTTATATCATAGCCTTACAAGCATCCCAAACTGTTGTCAAATTGGTTCCCTTATCTAAATTATTATTAAAATAGTCTTGAAGTACCTGATTACATTCTTTAACCATCTGTGGTTTCTGCAAAACAGACTCATTCAATCTCCATTTCAAAGACTGAGGACCAAATTTAAGATGTAAAGACACTGGATTATGGTCAGCGAAAGTTTTTGGAAGAATAATAGCTTTAGCTGCTTTGTAAAGCAGATGTTTTGTAATCCAAATCATATCAATTCTAGAAAAGGATTTGTGTCTCTCTCAAAAGAAGGTAAAGTCTTTTGTTAGTCCATTTTTACATCTCCAAACATCAACCAAACCTAAAGTATAGGTCAGCTGAAAAAAAAAGTTTGGGGCAGTTTCCCTTGTGTTTCTTTAATTCCTTTATCAGTTGATCTATCCAGTTGTGGGATTACTATCCCATTGTAGTCTCCAATTACACACCAATACTGAAAAAAATAGGAGAGTAAATGTTCAGACAGATGTTTAAAAAAACTTGGCTTTTTCTTGATGTGAGGTGCATAATCCCAAGACGATAGATTTTATTCTCTGTAATTCAATTTGCATAATTACATACCTGCCTTGATCATCAGCAAACAATAAATGTGTATGTAGTTGGGGTTTTATATACAAAATTATCCCATAAAATTTTTTTTGAGTTAGCAGAAATAAGTTCCAGACCCAAGATGTTATTTGTTAAATACTTTTTATCAGTCTCTTTAATATGAGTTTCTTGCAAACATATCATGGTTCACTTTTTTCAATAGTGAAATAACTTTTTTCTCTTTTGTGGGGAATTTTCCCCATTGACATTTCATGTCAAAATCTTACAATCCATCTGTTACAAAGAGGAAATTCAAGGATTCCAGCTGAGGCTCCCATCACCACAGCCTGTGTAAAACCTCTTTTTATCCTTTTCTTTCTTATCTTTATCTTTTGAAAAATAGTGTAGTTCCAATCCATTTTTTCCCCAAAAAATCTTGTGATTTAAGGACTGAATTTAGTCTATACCCGTGGTGGCGAATCTATGGCACGCGTGCCACAGGTGGCACACAGAGCCCTTTCTGTGGGCACGCGCACTGTCGCCCCAGTCCTAGCCCTTCAGCTGGGTTTTATAAAATCTTTTTGCTTTAGGCCTCCGCTGCCGTATGCAAAAAAAAAAAAAAGAAGAAGATTCAATCAATGAATCAATTTCAACTTCTCACGGGAAAAAAAGATCTCGCAAAGTTGGAATTGATTGATTGAACTTTTTAGTCCCACCCAGTCTGCCGTTATCACTGAAGCCATGCCCACCCAATGGGTCACGCCTCCCAATGGGCCTTGCCCATCCGGCACCCGATGATACACAAGTGGGTTTTGGGTTGCAGTTTGGGCACTCGGTCTTTAAAAGGTTCGCCATCACTGGTCTATACCATTGATTTCTAAAAGTAAGGATAACCCCTTCCAGCTTATCTGTCAGGAAAAAATATTCTTTGTGTTTCCTTAATATTGTAATTGGAATTTCTCTGAATATTTGCCCCTCTTTTCCAGAAATGTTAAATCTCTGGTGGTTAAATCTCTGAATTACTTGCTCTTTAACAGATTTTTTTAATAGATTGAATCATAACATCTCTTGGCAGTTGTCTTTTGTCTGTATGTGCTGAATTTATTCTGTAAATCTTGTCTAATTCTTAATCATTTGTGTTTTAATTACATCACCTAAATTGCGAATTTGCTTAGGAATTCTTCTGAGGCACAGAAAAATTATCTTCTGTTTCAAATCCAGTAACAGTTATGTTGGTTAAGAAGGTCTTGTGTCTGTGTCATCCATTCTAATCTGTAAATTTTTAACATCTTCTTTAGTTTTTTTTAACTCTGTTACTAATAATTCAAATTTTATCGGATTTTTCATTCATCTCTTTTATTGTGTCATATAGTATAGAAAACCTTTTCTCAAATATTTCCATTAGGAGTTTGGTGCTGGGCTCTTCCAAGTCATGTTTTAATTCCTTCAGTTCCTTCTTATAAGGCATTTTTGCAAATATCCTCTTTTATAACCAGTTGTTGGAGCAGAAAAGCAGGCAAGAATGCATTGTTCTCTTTTCAAGGTCAGATAAGCAGTTCCAAAAGCAAAACTAAGCAGAGAAAAAGTGTTGGTATACAAACTCACAGAGTAGAGGGGAAAAAAAAGGTTTCTAAGCTTTTAACGTAGAAAGCTGCAAATTGAATGCAGAGTGCATAAGAAATAGAATAAAGTTATAAAGTCTTTTCAAGTCGATACTGTATATAGTCTTTTTGGTAGAAGTTCAGTATAGTTAAACCAGTAACTTATTTTCTCAGTAATTTGAAAAAAAACACCCTCTTGTTGCTGTTTTGTCTTTTCCATACAGAAAAGACACTCCTTATTTCAATATACTCCTTCAGGGTTATTAAATCGATTAGCATCCACAAGGAGGGAAAGTATTTAAATTCCAGCACACAGCCAGCAATTAACATGCAAAAAGTAACAAGGAAAAAAAAACCATTGCAAAGCATGAAGTTAAAATAGAGGCATCTTTGAAGACATCAACTAGGCGGACATAATGTGAATCCTCTTCTTTGGCAAACTTACCAGGGAGAAAAAATTCACCAAATATTCACACACACTCTCTCCCCCAGCCAAGGAATGCTGTCCAAGAAGCTTCAGGAGATTCCATGCCACCCCTTTTCTAATCCAGGAGTGAAGTAGCTTCTGTAGCTATCAAACCAGTCATTAGTCTAGCACAGTGGTGGCGAACCTATGGCACGTGTGCCAGAGGTGGCACTCAGAGCCCTCTCTGTGGGCATGCGCGCCATGCCCCGGAGATGGCAACCGTCCCTCTTCAACCAGCCGCCTGCTAACTCGCTGAGGTCCCACATGACTAGATGCATCCCAGCACCCATGCGCTCGCTGGCCTCTGTGTGCAGGGGCCGATGGTGTCAGACCTTGCCCTGTGACCCCCGCCCTGCCTCGCCTCATCCAGCAGGACGAGCCTCCTGCCCACCGCCCCACCTGCCAGAGACCCTTGGATCTCCCCCAACCCTGCGCAACCCCCACAGGCGTCCCTCCCCACGAGCAACATCGAGGTGATCATGCCCACCTTGGCCACACACACCCAATCTGCCATGACCACCACAGCCACACCCACCCTGTGGGCCACGCGCACCTGGCACCCGGCAATAAATAAGTGGGTTTTGGGTTGCAGTTTGGGCACTCGGTCTCTAAAAGGTTTGCCATCACTGGTCTAGCAGAACAAAGATACGTCCTGCTAGTTCAGAGCGACATGCTGGGTGGAGCCTACCTCTGATTAATTATGTTGAATTAAACTTGCTCTTCAGTGGACCAGTTACAGTTGCTCTTTCCGTTATGTTTTTAATATTGTGTGTGTACTAGTAGTAATGTGTATTAAGCCTAGTATAAGTGAATAAAAATAGATTTAAAAATATTCTTCTCTTTAGGTCTCAATTACCCATCAACCATCAGGAAGAGGTGTGCCTTGTTTGAAATGCAGAGAAAAGTGTGCTGGTTTTGATCCACATTCTTGGAGGTAAAGATTTTTACTACTTTTGCTCTTATTTTCTGTTCTCATTTAGTTTGTGTTCAAGGCAACTGTAAATGAATGAATATTATTTGTTCTTTAGGATAGAAACTGTGGGAGGAGATTCGTATTAGTCTGTTGTGTCAACAATCTTTTCCCACGAACACATTTTATTAAAAGGTTGTGCCATCTGATAAAGTGAGCTGCATGTTTTATGATAATATTTAAAAGTTGGAAAAGGTGACTCCTGATTATAAGTTAGCAAGAATACTAGTAGAATCCATTACTATCAAACAAAGGGGTATTGTTGGCTTGCCTTTTCCTTTTCTATCAAATGTGCTTTAGTAATTCCTATCTCAATGCTTTTGTAGTTAGATGGATTTGCAATGTAAAAATAGTGGTGGCAAAATTTGGCTGGTTAATTCATTACTTTTCTAAAATTTTGAATTGGATGCTTGAATTCACCCTACATTAAATGTCTTACATGTCTTCATCCTGCTCACAAATTCAGAACATACATGTTATAACATAGACATTAAGAACATATTAATACCATGTCTACAGTTCAGATCATGCATGCCTACATTCAAATCTACTGGATTTCACTTCCATTAAGTCAAAACTAGAGAAATGTACTTGGACGCATATTACCAATAAGTGCTTAGTAGAATCTCTAGTTTTTTTAAAAAAATACCTGTATAGGGGTTTTTTCCCAGTATATTGAACTCTAGATCAATGTAGCAAGGCTACAAAACTGCATTGTGCCCTTTGTCACTTTTCTAGATCAGTAGCATTATGCTGCTAATTTTTCATTCACTGCACTTGAGTTGTTACATTCTTTGTCAAAAGGCCGGCTTATATAATTGTGTATCTCTGACTTCTGGCATTTCCAATAGTGGGTAGGAGCTCAGATAGTTCTGTCAAAGGATGCCAGGCTTTCAGCGGTGATGTCATCTTTAAAAATGCCACATTCCCTGAAGCCTTCACTCCCACGGGAATAATTTGGAAATATGCAAGTGGCCTGGGATGAAGGGGGACACTTCTTTTTCCATCTCTTTCTTTCCTTTTTTTTTGTAGTTTTTCTGTATTAAGTAGTTTTATTACTTTTATCTGTTTAGCATAATCTTTAGTAAAATTATTGGGGGGGAAACTTTTCATCCAATATGAATCATGATTCTTCTTTTTTTTATCAGTGAGAGTTATTTGGATACAGATTCCTCCAGATTTCAGTTATAACCAACAAGAAATCATGAAAAAACAGCACCCTAAAATTTGGATTTCTTCCTTGTGAGCCCATCATTGAAAAAAGATGAGCTTCATTTCATATAAAATTATTCCCATTCCCAACCATATGTACTTAAATATGGTTTCAGTAAAGCTTCTAAAGAAACTGAAATCTAGATTAGAATCATTGGACATGTTGATTCCATTTGCAGCTAGCTGTACTGGCAAAACATTATTCTTCCCATAGCAAAACACATGTTCAGCAGCACTAATGTTATGGTTATAATGAACCCAAAATAATGTTTAATGATATTACCATATGTTAATTAAATGAACTGCCAGGTACAAAATCTGAAAAGTTATGGCCTTCTCTTTCTGATTTTGAAAAGATTATAAAACACTGTGTGGATCTCAGTTTCTCAAATGCATGCTGAGTATTCTGTAAATTTGTTGCTGCCTAATATATGTTTTACTCTCAAACACTTTATTTTGAGATGCTCATAGCTCAGAGTAGAACAATAACATTCAGCACCTAGGTTTAGAGTCAGTCCTCCCAAAAGGATTTCTGTCTGTCTGTCTGTCTGTCTGTCTGTCTAATTTATTGGCCACACATTTTGCTACAGGGTATCTGAGAGGTCAATGATTATTATATATATGATAATTAGAATTGCAAATAACTCTGCCCAAGGCTTGAGATAGAATAGATCTTTGAATTAATAGCTTCTTAACTATTTTTGGGATGGTATAGTTCTGTGGTCTACAACTAGATTTCCTGAAAAGCCATAGTAGACAAAACAGGAACTAAAATGGACACATAGCCCTTCCATTCTAAAGCATACTCATTCATTCATTCAATAATTCAATCAATCAAATTATGTAGCCAGCTGTCCATCTCATCTGGGTAATGAACAATATTTAAAGTAAACGTTAACACAGTTACAATCACAACTACAACAAATAAAAATACACAGCAGTTAAGAGAATTCAACAATCACTAACAACCAGGAAACTGTTATCACTGATATTTTTTGGATTAATACATTCTGCTAACCTATGATTTTTTTAAACTATACCTTACTGAGTATGCTGTAATTGTCCAAGTTCTCGTGAATCGATGGTGTTCACACAGCATACCAAGCTAAACAAAATAAGATGCTATTTCTTCTGGGCCTCAAAAATTAGAGGGGAAAACCAGATTATTTCAGACTAGCCTAATTCCAGGACTATCTTTTTCACATAAAATCAAACCATGTCCTCTCTGGGATGTACTTCAAATCCATAGTTTATGCAAGTTTAGTGGAATATTGCCCAGAGGCAATGATTTTCTATGGTGGCCCACACCTGTGTAATAGCTCCTCCCCTAAAATTAGATCATCACCATCACTGGTGATTTTCAGAAGATGGTTAAGACTGAAGTCTTTTGTTACGTCTTTGAGAAACATTGTTGCTGTTATGCTAAGTGTTTCTTCTTCCCTTATTTTTATTTCTGCTGTAAGGTTGTTGGTAGTATCCTTAGTTGTTCATAGTTGTAAACACCTTGGAGTATTTGCTGATTTAGCAGTATATGAGCCAAATTAGCAAATTAAGTATTCTCTGGATAAGTGTTTCTCAATTTCAGCAACTTGTGTGTAGATCTATAAGATGTATACATTTCAGTTCCCAGAATTCCTCCAGGCTATTTGGCTTCCAAGTTCAGACAGAATCAGCCAGAGGCTGCCACTTGCTATAAAATATTTAACATGGATGTTCTCAAATTAGCCTTGCCTGTATTGTGATAGATCTAAATCTAGAACTATTTAGAGCTGAGGAGTCATTCTATACCTTAACAGGTCCACCATTCCCCTATTTACATAAAAATTGAATAAAATATTTGATGATAATTGTTCATGTAATCCAAAATTGGGATAAAGTATTAATGAATAAAATCTTGGTTCTTTTAGAAACAGACATCACATTGCTTCTATATGAGGCACTAGCTATCTCTGACACTAAAAATGCAGGTTGAAAGCAACAGATGTAATTATTCAGGAAGTAAAAAAACATGAATTCAAGAGTTGGGGCTTTGACCTATACAAATTAAATGGGGTTTATGTTTTAATTAATGTTTCTTGTTTTTCTCGTTCCTAGGTAGGCATCCCATTTGTTGCATCACAAACTATTTTCCACACTGCACAATATTCTGTATTGTTTGGCTGTATATCTATTTCTTACCAGGACTAGTCTGGTCAAGTTTTACTTGTCAGACATTTTCGTTGAAGTGTGAGCTTTGATACAAGCTACCTTTTGCAGCTGCTGGCTATATTAGAAAAATAAAAATTGATTTCTGAGTACTGCAGAGGGAGTGGCAGTGAAATGCAAAGATGACATTTAATTTGAGGAAATGATTAATGAAATAACATGATGAACCTAGCAGAGGCTCAGTGTACATACCATTTCTCTCAATGAAAAAAATCAGTGTTGAATTACTGTGTTTTGCCTCCAAATTTTTAGCTGTGGCCCAAAGTAACCTTCCCTATTTTAGAAATCAGCATCAAGCACTTTTCTTCGGCTTTATTTAGGGTTTGCCATTCACCTGTTAGGATTTGGAAATCTTGCTCATACTGTTGAAAAATATAAACTCTGACAACTTGAGTGAATACATTTTTGACAAGTATTCTTCAAAGCCAAAACAGATCCGGAAGTAGCTCTCCTACTACTGGGCAGCCCTTGGCAGCCAATTTCAGGGACTAGGAATAGTGCCTTAACCTGTGACAGCTGCAGAAAACAAAAATACATATCCTGTTGCTTTATGATGAATACAATTCTATATCTTTGTTATTTCTCGCACTTCCATTTAGGATGAAGACCTGATTTGTATAGCATTTTAATACTGGAATGTTCACTATGTGGACACTCCACTTAAGCCCCATTTGCCTGTATCAATGTTAGCTGTATCAATGTTAGCTGTATCAATGTTATTCTGTGTAGATGTTTATCAGCCTTAGTAATTTTAAGATGTCTGGACTTCAACTCCCAGAATTCCCCAGCTGGCATGCTCTGATGTAGGCATTAAGACTGCAAGAAGGGCCCATTCATGCCAATCTGTTTTTATAATTGGAAACAAGAAACTCACCCATTTTATTTATTTAATTAGAATGCTACAAAATTCTACATTTCCATATTTCCTGTGTGCCACTGAGTGTTTAATATAGGTATTGAACTTTAATCACTGAATGCTTTCCACTATGTAAATCTCAGAGCTTCTGTCATTGAAGGCTCTTTCTGCAAGGTTTCGACAGTGTGGCTTTTTATAGTCTTATGTTCTACACCATTGCAAATTCTGTTCATCCTCATTACAGATTTTTCCTTCTGGATAGCATTTGACCAGAAAGATCTTTTGTTCTATGTCATAATCCATTTTGATTTATAACCTTGGCTGTTTATTCTAAGGTTCACCCTTGAGCCACCAAAAGAGCACATACCTGTGAGGGCTTATATCAAAATATGACTTCATTTGTCTCCCACAGGAAAATATGCAAGTCATGCAAATGCAGCCAGGAAGATCACAGCCTGAGCTCCGATGCAGAAGATGATCGGAAAATTGGCCGCTTGCTTGCTGATTCAAAATATTCTTCACTCACTGCTCGGGTAAAAGGAGGCGATGGAATCCGCATCTATAAAAGGAACCGCATGATTATCACTAATCCTATAGTATCTCGGAAAGATCCAACTTTTGACACTATTACATATGAATGGGCTCCACCTGGATTGACTCAGAAACTGGTAAGAAAATGTGCCCAAGGCTGGGAAGAAAATGTGATGCCTTTCAGATAGAGTAACGGGTTAGTAAAGAACAAGGTTGCATAACTGCTAGGCAGTCCATACACTTCAAAGAGATGGTGCAAGAAGGCAGATAGGGAGTCATTGCTCTCTGGGGCTTCCTGAAACCCTTGGCCCATCCCTTCATTGCCATCAAAGAGCTCCCTGCATTTTTCTGTTTCTCCACCAAATTTGGGAAGGCCACAAAAAAGAAAAGCTAACATTGGCTCTGCCTTTCCCAACAGGCTAAATTTGTATGGCTGATGAAGTTTCATTCACATGACATCCTTAACCAGCTAAACCAGTCATGTCAAACTCGCGACGTCACATGACGTCGCGGAAAGTATCAGGACAGTTTTGCCATTGCCAGCAATGGGGTGGGCGCAGCTTACGGATGACGTGTCTGGCCCATGGGCCGGCAGTTTGACACCCCTGAGGTAAACCAAGTCAAACTGAATGCCTAGCAGCTGCATTTGTGCTATATGCTAAACCTTAGTTCCTTTTTTTCTTTTTCCTTGGTTCCTTTTGCTTGGAATGTTAAATGAATCCAGCTTGCTTCATTAAGATCCAGTATATTATACAAGCCTAGGAATTGGGTTAATTCAATAACCAAGCTAAATTTGTTATGCAAACATGGCCATTTTGGAAGAAAAATGATATTTAGTATCATATAATTAGGACTTTTCAAAGACCCAAATATGTTTGCATTGAAATTAAATAGTTTTTCCAAAGGAATGCATTATTAATATCACTAAAGCCAAGTAAAACCAAACATATTTGAGTGTGGTAAATATCCCTATTCTTTAGGAAAGCTTCTTTAGACAATATAAACTTACAGTAAAATAAACTTGTTATTGAAGAATAATGCTAAAAATAAAAAAGTAAAAATAGTTGGCAACATAGTTTTCTGAAGAAAAATGATTCATGCAGATTGTTCACCTGTTTGAAAACACCGATTTATATGTTTAGTTACAGAGTTATATTTATATGAAAACTGGAGTCAGTGGTTTATTTTTTATTTATTTTCTTCAAACACAAACTCTAAAAAGTACAAAAACTCTTTTTCCTCCACTTTCACACAAATAAATTGAACCATAGATTTTACAATCTCATCCTTGTGTTCATGCAAATTAAGTCTGAACTTGCCCTTATGTCTGCCTAAAGCCTTCCAAGGAACTGAAAGAGGGATTATATTACACATCATATTGTGCTGACTAGATTAAATAACTCTAAAATGGCAGTACTTGGCCTTTATTATTACAAAGCCCATTGTGCTCACAGTAAGCAGCAGTAGACTGGAACAAAGATAAACACCTACTGCAGTGATATCTAGTAACCAGTGCCTTGTAATTTGTAGAACAAAAAAAATGCTTAGTATTATATTTACAGTCTGTAAATTAGACAGCACAGTGCAAGCCTGGTCACCTTTATGCCTTTATGAGAATTACACTCACAAAATGGAAATTATGCTAAGGCTGATAACTTTTCTCCCAATTGTTATTATTAGAGTGCAATACCTGCCATTTTAGCTATAGAACTATGCTTACTAAATTCCAATGCCTCTTTCCATTGCCTCCATCTTTATGTTATATCTCTATAGCATTTTTATATTAATATTAGTATATTAAATTGAGCACTATAGGAAGATATTTGTGACTGGTTCTTGTTTCCTACAAGGGAAAGCTGGTACACCTAGGTCAGGGGTAGGCAATCTTGGCTCTTTTATGACTCGTGGACTTCAACTCCCAGAATTCCTGAGCCAGCATGGCTCAGCTTGGAAACCTCTCCCTTTCCCTCAGCATGGCTGGCTCAGGAATTCTGGGAGTTTGAAGTGCACGAGTCATAAAAGCGCCAAGGTTGCCTACCCCTGACCTAGGTGAATACCATTTCAAAGCAGGTCTATTGGACCATTCAGGACTCCTTATCAAACAGCTTCTTTAAGCAATAAAAAATGAAGTCTAAAATCCAAATCTAGCAAACTACATGGATTGGCCTACTTTAAATTTATTTTGGATTTCAAAATGTCCTATCTCAAAGGATAAGGAGCAGTGGGGACTTAGCTTCCTTGAGCTCTTAAGACAGCTGTGTTTTTTATGATTTTTGCTTGAATGAACAATGTGATTTAGAACTAAAGTATGATATTTTGTTTAGTCACCAATTTGAGGTCAGGGGACACAACTTATCCATGACCAGTTTTCTTATGTGGGTAATATAGTATCAATGTAGTACCAATGTTGTAGTGAGATGGCAATCACTGAACAGCACCTTATATAAGAAAGATTATTCTAGAGTTGCTTTGGATGACCTTATAAAATTACAGCTCATCTCAACTCTGCATGTTCATTGTCACTGGAAAGGAATGAAACTGGGATTCTTGAGATATCTGTCAGCCTCTGGTAGCATGTCCTCATCCCAAGTATTTCCACTACACTTGGGGGGGGGGAGGATGTGATTGCATTGTGAAATTAGTCCAAGATTTAACTAATGTAATTCGGGGGGGGGACTCTGTACTACATGAAATAAGTTGAAATATATGAATATTAAGTCATTTGACAATACTCTAGAACATTCATAATTGTCTTATTACCTATTAATAGGTAATTACCTATTAATAGGTAATAAGACAATTATGAATGTTCTACAGGTAATTACCTATTAATACTTATTACCTATTAATAGGATCAATAATATTGATCTTGTCTTATTCAGACCATAGGTCATGAAACTATATGTACAATGTTGATACAAAACAACAGAGAACAATTCTTGGTACCTTGGAGTAATGATCTTAAATGCCTGTATACTTATTTGTGGGCATCCAATTTAAATAGAGTAGTGGTGATACAATTAGAGACAATTGGAAAATTTAATGTAAGGCTTCAGCTTTTGTTATCTACTTGAAATATAATTTCTGGTGTGCATTTTCAGACCTGGTTATGTATATTTCCTAAAAAGCATAAAAGCACGTGTCTAATTCAGAATAAAATTAAAAAGCAAAATAGTTGATGTCCAGCACAAAAGCTATCTGTTTACAATAATGAAACCCATGTCATTTAGCTACAAGGCTTTCTTTTGAAATTAAAAAGAGAGGATTTAGAATTCATTGGAAACTGGTCTATATGTACTACTGCAACCGTCACTTTTCAAAATGCTATATTGGCCACTACAGAGTGCCAAAGCAGCATTACATATCTGTTACATATTCAATTACTGCTTCGTTTCCTTCCTTTCTTTCTGGTAGCAAACAAATGTTTTTTCAAATTCTATAGGTTGCTGCCTTTATATTTCTTGGTGTTCTACTATCCTTTTACTAATCATACCTGACCACCTTAGTTTTCATTCTTCACTACCAAGCCTAAACTCAGTCTTCCAGATGCAACTCACTTTCTGACCATTTGGAACAGTGTATTCCCAGTAGCTGTTGGAATGGTTTTTTAAAAGACTTCCATAAAGTTTCTGTATCTCTAGAATGCATTTCCATGCATCAGTGTTTTGTAAGAATGTTCATTGTCTCATGTTTATTATAAACATTTTTCTCATATCTTTCTGCCCTTATAATAGTAGGTTCATTGTTGAATAGACTGATTTGGGGAAGGGATTGGTTTTTTATGTTGCAAATCTCATGTGAGTGAACTTCAACAATCAAGTAACACTGCAGTTATAGACATTGATGAAACTTTTCATTCTCAAGGCTTCATTGAATTACATTAGCTATAGGTAATACTTCATAAGAAAGTAGCATACAGCAGTCTTGGTTCTTAACAGAGCAAGAAATAACTTTTTTTTAAAATTTCATGGCAATGAAAAATGGAGGTGGAAGGAAGACAATTTTTTCCCAGTATTCCCAACCTGCTGTCTTTCAGTTATTTTGGATTTTTATTCGTGGCTTGGGAGCGTGAGAATTAACATCCAACTTGTTTGAAGAGCATCAAGCCGGAAAACTCTCTGTCTTCCATACCATCAAAGGGGAGCTTAATAGGACAAGTATTCCTTTCCATGTCATAAGTCAACTTACTAGAAATCCCTTTTTAATTATTAAGAGAAAAGCTGCCTTTTGCTACTGAGTGTTCTCCAGATGTGTTGGACCATGACTCTTATACGTTCTGTCTCATAAATATTCTGGCTAGGAAATATAGGAATGTAGTTGAACATCTGGAAGGCACCAGGATGGGAAAGACTGCCCTAGGTAGTAATTAATATATGTCTAAGGAAGGCAGTATTGAGAATGTAAACACAAAATAAACAGGCATAAATTAGGAAACAAAGGTTGCATTTATAAAAATTACTGTCTAAATGACAGAGACATTAAAACAAACAACCCAAAAAGTGACTAAAATAGTTTACTTTTCAGATATCATTTTTGCCTTTTTGTCATTCTTGTCTACAACCTTTCAGTGAAAGGTATTGTGTAATGAATTAGTATAGCACAGAAATTTGTTTTTACCATAGAATGATTTTACAACCTGTAAAGTAGCTCTTGGTTTGAGTATCTAGCAAAGCAGTGCAATATGAGTATATTCAAAAGTAAATCCTATATTTTATGGTGCACAAAGTCAACTAAATCTGTGTAGGAATTCAGCCTACAGCACATAGATTTAAAGGTAATAAATCAGTGTTAGAATACATTTGCAAGTATATTTGCAAGTATAATACTTGGAAATAAAAATCTGTACAAGATCTGTAATATATTGTGCAGCCAAAGTGAAAGTGGCAAGAGTAGATAAACTATAAGGTTTCTGTATGAACTGTGTTACAAGTCAAGTAATTGATATTCCAAGAGTAGCTGAAGAAAAATATGTTCAATAAAAGAGAACTGTTTGTTCATGCATGAGGAAGCCAACGTTTAAGAAGAAAAATATGTTTTATGTTCCATATTTTCAATAGGATTCAAGTGCGATGCAACTTAGTATAAAAATCAACAGACATGCATATCCCTCTTCCAAGTTGTAGCTACTGTACTTGGA